TCAAACCCCCGGCCCCTTTGCCTGCTTGCAGGTGCTTTAATCCGCTGAACTATTTGGTGAAGAAATTATAAAGAAAGCCCTTTATAATTTGTGTTGTCTTTTTTTTTTTTTCAACCTTATCTCCTGCCCTTTAGAAGTATCCAATGCTATAGCCCATGATTGGGCTAGAAGAATTGTTTGCAGTTCCTCATATGGATGTTTTCTGCCTTCATGCATTATAAATGCTATTTTCTCTAGCTTTTTCTTTAAGTGTTACAGTCCTCACAGAAAAAGAACATCTATCATAATTTACGTGTGGTACAAACTTAACTGTTGGATTCAACTGCTGTATTTTTGTTAGCAAGATTTTCCTTTTTTTTTTAATTTTTGTTTATTTATTATTACAGTATCTTGCAGACTCTTAGTGATCTTCCTGTCTCAACCTTCTCAGTACTGGGATTATAGGTGTGTGCCACCATGCCCAGTTTCGGTGGCTGGCACAGTATACCCAGGTTCTAGGCCAGCATGGCATGCAGTATCAGGAATCAAAACCAGGTCCTTGTGCTTGCCAGGCAGGCACTTAGGCCACTAAGCTATCTCCTCAGTCATTTTTTGTTTTTTGTTTGGTCTTTTTTTGAGACAGTCTCCCTATACAGTTCATTTTGGCTTTAACTCAGTTTGTAGCCCAGGCTGGCTTTGACCTCACAGTAATCTTCCTGCCTCAGGCTCCCCAGAGCTGGGATTACAGGGGTATACCACCACACCCCGCCAGGAATACTTTCTTTTTTTTTTTTTTTTTCTTATGTATTTGGTACAGGATCTCACTCTGCAGCTCACACTTAGTGATCCTCCTAGTTGCAGCCACCCCAGTGATGGGATTATAGGTGTGTGCCACTTAGTCACTGGCTCAGCATACCATTTGGTCACTGGCCTGCAAGGCATGTGGTGTGGGGGATCAAATCCCAGGCCTTGTGCTTGTGTAAGCAGGCACTTAGTCTACTGAGCTATCTTGCTGCCCCAGGAAAGCTTTCTTGATGAAGGGATTTTATTACATGATTTGCATTTGCTTTAAGTACCTAATCTCATTGTCATGAATTGGGAAGAAATAATTCACAGATGGGCACCATCCTGCAGGTAACACTGTCTTAAGTGGAGCCTTCTCTGACAAAGGAGTTAAATGTTACACTATGTTATATGGTTACTTAACACCTCTTTATTTTTCAGTCTATTTTAGAATTTATCGCATTAAATTTTAGGTATTTGCTTTTGTTCTCTTATTAAAGTTTGAGCTCTTGAGTGCAGAAATTTTGTCTTATTCAACTTTGTGCCATATACACATTTGGAAAAATTTTGTACCTGGTAAGCCTGAATCAATGCTTGCTGAATAAATGGAAGCTTGGCATAAGTTAGGCATTTACTAAAAGTCTCAGGGTGAGGCAGGAAGGTTGCTATGAGTTCAAGGCTATCCTGGGCTATATAGGGAGCTCAAGGCCAGCTTGTAGTACAAAGCAAGACCCTGTCTCAAAAAAACAAAGAGTCTTATAATTATTTTATCATATGAACTAAAGTTTACCATATATATGCATAATATATGTTTTTGTATAGCATCTTCAGTGCTTTATTTCCAAAGTCCAGTTTGTTGATATTATTATTTTTTAATGTATTTAGTCCAGGGTCTCACTACACAGATTGGACTCATAGTGATCTCCCTTTTTCAGCCTCCCCAGGGCTGGGATTACAGGCGCAGGCCACAATGCCCAGTCTCAGTTGCTGTTTCAGCTTGCCCCAGGGGCAGGCCCTGTACAGCACTCTGGAAATCAAACCCTGGTCCCTGTGTCTGCCTAAGCAGGTACTTTAATCCGCTGAGCTATCTGGCTGGCCCTTGTTATTGAATCTTTATACAACAATTATTTTGGGGTTTTTTGAGACAGGATCTCACTGTATAGTTCAGGCTGACCTTGAACTTGAGTGCTCTGCCTCATCCATCTTTTCACATGCTGAGAGTAACAGGTGTGGACCAACATGTCTAGCTTTCGGCTTTAAATGTCTTGAGTCTCATTTTTTTTGTTGTTATTTCTTACCCTGGTATAAGTTGTTACCATGTTATGCCTGAACTATTGTAGTAGCTACCTTATTGGTTCTTATTTTATTGCATCAATTTTCTTTATTATGTTTTTGTTGGTTTTCTAAGATGTTTTATAAAATTCATTCTATCTCATAATGGACTTATTTTTATAAAGTACATGTTTCAGTATGGGAACATCTCAATTCCTTGACATAGTATAAAAGATCCTTAAAAAATGTTATCCTAATCTTTCACTCTCATCACTTAGTATTCTTCATTAAGTACCTCTGGTATCTGAGAAGTAAAAATATAGGATATGATAAAACATAATAGGCCAGCCTGATAACTTAGCCATCTAAAGCACCTGCTTAGGCAGAGCACAGTGGTTGGCAAGGGTTCTATCCCCCAGGGTGCCCTGAGACATTGAATTTGACTGGGTATGTTAGCTCATGCCTGTAATCCCAGCACGTGGGAGTCTATAAACAGGAGAATCACTGTGAGTCTGATGTATGTAGTGAGACCCTGAACACCTTGTAGACCCTGCCCTAAATACACAGAAAAAAAAAAGACATAATAAATCAAATATAGTAAGTAGTAGTCTAAATTTTCTACTTAAAATTACTACCACAGTTTTAAAATATTTTATCCAGAGGATATAATAACTGTCAATCTTTGCCTTTCAAAGAAGGTAGGGCTTGAGGTATAGAGCTCTTGCAAGGCCCTGGGTTTAGTCCCTAGCACTACCCCCACAAAGATGATTAAAAATCTTAATGAAGTTTAATTCTTAAATTCTCATGAAGACCCAATACTATTATGGACTACTGGACTCTTTAGAGTATTTTGCTGAGTTTACAAACCTATAATATTCATATAACGGAACTTAACAAAAAAAGGGGATACAGATGAATGTCCATTTTGTATCTGTGTATTCAAAATGGTTAGGATAGATATATAGTTACATTCTCTTAATGAATAGAGGGATTTGTTGTAATGGTGTTTGTAAATAGGGTATCATGTCCACATCTTGTACAGCAAATAACCACTAGGAAGAATGTATGCAATGTGTTAATTATTGAAACTGTCCTACCAATTTGGTTTGAAACTGTCTCATTGCTATTTGTTTCTCAATAAAATTATGGAAAAAATTAAAATAAAATAAAATTAGACCTATTAAAAAATTTAAAAAAATAAATTCTCATGAAGAACTTAGTAATTGGTAAATGTAGTACTTTTAATTGATAAAGGACCAAGAAAGTGGAAAATCAGATTCTTGATGATGATAATAAATTTTTTGTGACTCCAATTTTTTCTTTTTTCTCAATAGGGATGAACACATTACTTTGTGCTCCCATTCAGACCCAGGTACAGCAAAGAGAGGTATGAATTCACATAAGTACGTTTATTTTTAAATCTCATTACAGTTAAAACTTTAAAAAGGCCAAAAAATTAATAATAACAGTATGATTTAGGGATAACTTACCAAAATGAATCATCATAGACTGGAAAAACTTCCTACCTGCTCAGTTAACTAAGGATAGGTTTTTTTTTGTTTTTTTTTTGGGGGGGGTGTTTTGGGCCAAACCAGGGATTGAACTCAGACCCTTGCGCTTGCCAGAGCAGCGCTTATTCTACTGAGCCATCTCCTTGGCCCCAGGGTAGTTAAATCACTAACAATTTAAATAAGGGGGACATATATTATACTAGGACTTCTAAAACTTTCATGAACATATACATTACCTCAGGATTTTAGGGATAGGAATATGACTCAGTGGCACAAGTGCCTGCTGGCAAGTGCAAGGTACTAAGTTCAATTCTTTGTACCAAAAAAGAAAAGAAATAATTTAGCCAGGCATGGTGATACACACCTGTAATCCTTGAGAGGCTTGGGAGCAGGAGGGTCATTGTGAGTTTGAGCTTAAGGCCAGCCTGAACTGCAAAGTGAAACCCTATCTCAAAAAGACCAAAAAAAAAAAAAAAAGTGGGGGGATTTTATTGAAATATAGATTCACTAAAGGCTAATTAGACCTCTCTTCCTTTAAAAACTAATAGTTTAAGCACACTTGTAATCCCAGCGCTTGGGATGCTGAAAACAGGAGGATCACTATGAGTCTGATCTGTGTAGTGAGACCCTGTAGACCTTGTATCAAAGTACATAAAAAAATAAATAAAAAACCCTAGAAAAATAGCTTAATGGATTCACATCCAGTAGATAAGGGATAGACTATGAGAATCTGTATTTATTACAGTCTCGTTGATATTAATATATAGCCCACAGACTGTACTTTGAGTAAGAAGGAGTTAAACTGTGTCTTTATACATTAAATAACCAGAGTCTAGACGATAATATAAATTAGCTATCATGAACCTATGTGTTTCTAAGACTTTTGTTTAGGATGTGAATGCCGTATCCAATATAGAATCTTCATTATGGTTACATTTGATATTTTCAGAGTTTTTCTTTTTCTTTTATTTTTTTATTTTTAAGTCATTCTATAAGGTATACAATTAATTGTGAATTTGAATTTGTTCCCAAGCACTAAAAATTTTTCAACCTTTAAAAAATTTTTTAAAAAGCAAATTATATGTAATATACCACAGCATTGACTCATCACTGAGAACTGTGTACATAGTAATGTTGTAAAATATATTTTAAAAATTTACACTTGGTCTAACCTCTTTTATTTTCTTTTCCAATAGTTTTCAAGTAAAGAACACAACCATGAAAGGAAACATGCAAATGATCAGACAGTCATCTTTTCAGATGAAAATCAGATGGATCTGACAGCAAGTCACACTGTAATGATTACCAAAGACCTTTTAGATTGTTCCAAAAATGAAAAGTCCACTAAGATAGATACCACATCCTTTCTAGCTAACTTAAAACGTCACGCTGAGGATTCAAGAACAAAAAAAGAATTAAAAATTTCCATAGATCAAAACACTTCTGGAAGAAAAAGTAATTCTAGTGACTTCATGAAAAGACTGAAAACAGGAAAGTACAATGCTTCTTCTTTTTCAGAGCCTAATAAAGAAAACTCTGAAATTCCTATTTACTCCAAAGAATCAAATAATGCCCCTTCCTCCCATCAAATATGTACATCTCTTAATGTGGGTGAGAGAAGTAGCAATATGACTAGAATCTTTGGAGAACAAGATGATGGAATGAATTTAACCCATTGTCATACAGCCAATATTCAGACTTTCGTTCCCATAACCTGTGAAGCCAATTTAAGGAAATTTAAAGGTGACATTACAGTTTGTGACAATGATTGTATGGATTTGACAGTTAACCACACATTACAGGTTTTAAATTCATCTGAAACAGAAAATCAAACTCAGACTTTCATGGATATTGCAACAGGTTGTGGAACTAAAGCTCTAGGAAAGAAAGCAATCTTTAAGAAACCACATGCTGCTTTTCCAGACCCTTCCTTAAACCCTCAAAATAAACTTCCTGTAACGAGAAGTCATATCACAGAGTCAGAAACTTGCACAGTCACTCAACCTTCTGATCAAGATGCCAGAACATTGGTAGTAACTCAAGAATCTATGTGTTCTAGTGGACCAACTATTCCAGATAATAAGACAATTTTTTATTCTACTTGTAATGATGCCATGGAATTGACTGAGTGTTTCTCAAGTATGAAAGAAGAGACAAATTTGCTGAAATATGACAGTAATTATTTTAAAATATGTCCCAATCCCAATGCCATACCTTGTCTCATGGAGAAAACTATTTACTCAGGAGAAGACAGCATTGAGTTTACCAAGAGTCACACAGTTGTAATAGATAATCAAATTTTTAAACAAGATCAGGCAGATGTACAGATAGCAGCCACATCAATATCTGAAAGAGGAAAGATGTTCCAAAATTATATAACTGGGTTAGAAGATAGAAAAATGAATGGAAATTATAGCTTAGGTCCCAGTGTACCTAAGGGAAGATTACAGCAGAGCCTGCTCTATCATGGTAAAGATTCTCCTTCATCAGCTGAGTGTAATGAGGAGACAGCAACAAACCATAATATAGTCTATTCAAGGGCAGTTCTTGATAAAGAAGCACCACTAGGAAATAATAGAAATACAATGGCAAGCAAGAACTCTTCATTTTCTGACTCAGAGCCATTACTTTCATCAGAAAGGCAGTCTGCCGTAAAGAATCATACTGCTCTGAATAATCAGATAGTGAAATCTGTACTAGGCCAGAATTCTGTACTTCCTGAGCCACTGAGGAAAAATTTAGAAAATCCTACACCTAACTATTCTCAGGATAAAATGACTTTTTGTCCAGAGGAGGAGCAAGCTATGGATCTAACCAAGAGTCACACTGTTGTCATTGGATTTGGTCCTGCTGAAGTACAAGAAATTAATAATACTAATGTTGAGCACAGAGCCATCCAGCTCCTAAGAGAAAGCACTCAGACAGCCATAAAAGTGGAACAATGTGATAAGAGTCCTATAGAAAAAAATGAAGAACATATATGTAATAGCAAAGACATGTTACAAGACAAAAATATACAGAAACCTGGATTTCTAAAAGAAAAACAAAATGTCAAAAATCATGGAAGAAAAAGTGTTGGTGCACTAAAAATTGATAAAACTGTAGTATTTTCAGAGGGTGATGAGAATGATATGGATATCACCAAGAGTTACACAGTGGACATTAACCATAAACCTTTATTAGATAAGCCTGACTCTCATGTGATACCTTTGGCAGGAACTTCTAAAACTGCTTTGTATGCATGTTGGCAGGATGATATGGAGATCACTAGAAGTCACACAGCTGTTTTAGAATGTAAACCTGTCTCACCAGATGGAATAGGTTCTAGGCCTATGGACAGAACTGTGATGTTTGTAAATAATCATGATGAATTAGAACTGACTAAGTCACACACTGTTTTCATTGACTACCAAGCCGAAAAGCAAGCCATACTTCCAGATGGCTGTAACTTTAAACAGTCCAGAAGGAAAAGCCTGCAAAACCCAGAAGAGACAACTCCTGTTGAAGATAATGTTTTTTCTGAAAATGACCACCTAGCATCAAAAGACAGACAAGTAGCAGTACTAGAAGAATGGTCTCATAGAGGTCCTACAGAGAAAGCCATCGCGTTATCTGATGCGAACATGGTCATGTCTAAATTAACCACTTGCAAAAATGTCAAAGATAAACAAAAGCCTGGATCTATGAATGAGTCCCTGTCAGTCAAAAGTCAGATACTACAAAGACTTAGTCACAAAAATGACAAGCCCATTGCACATTCAAAGAATGATAAAAATGACATGGCTGTTGCCCAGAGTTGTATGGTGGGAATAAATAGCAAACGTGCTCTTGAAGAGAGGGATGGCTTCAGTTTGGTACCTTCGACAGGAATCTCTAGAATTGTTTCATATGCTTGTGGGCAGGATGACATGGAGATCACTAGAAGTCATACAGTTGTATCAGCAAGTAAAACTGTGTCATCAAATGAAGTAACTATTAGGCCTATGGACAAAACTGTAATGTTTGTAGATAATAATGATTTGGAAGTCACCAAATCTCATACTGTTTTCATTGATTGTCAAGCTTCAGAGAAAATACTTAAAGAGCATCCTAAATTTGGAACAACAAATGAAAATATCAGTGCTTATTTTCCTAAGATTGATAACTATGTTGAAGGAATCACTAAAAACCAAGTGCTGGCTGTGGACAACAAAATTGTTGCTCACCCTGAGCAAAAGGATCATATAATACCTCTTATTCCTATGAATATATTTTCTGGGCATCAAAGTGAAATGGGAGTCAGCGAATTCCATGAGGCTGCTACAGATGAAAAATGCATGGAAAAAGTTGTAGACCAGGCCAATACATTGGAAAAAGCCAGAATTGAAAGCTGTCACTTAAACAGTATGGATAAAAAAATTGTGGATTTTACAAGTAGTTGTGTAGATGCTATTCGTGGGTCCAATGATAATTATTCTTGTTCACCGGATGTTATTTCTCCTTTTAATAATTTGGAGAATAATACCATGCCCTTATGTGATAATGATAAAGTCAGCAAGTGCCTAATGCAAAATGGTATTGATGTTACAGATAATTTAGCCAATGAATGTTGTTTAGAATCTGAGGGACCACCTCTTTCTGCTCCTTGTCCTTTGTTAGAGGAGGAAGTTATTCCAACTAATTCCAAAGGGGAGATAGACTATGCTATAACACCACTCAAAGATCAAGATCTGCAAAAAGAGCCTCAAAATCTATTACCTAGTCAAACTTCAGTACATAATCAAAACCAGGGGGAGATGACTAAACTTAATTCAAAGCATGTTTCTTTTAAGCTTCCAAAGGATCAAATAGAGGCCTTTGTTGATGATACTTTCATTACTTCTCAGCCTGTCTCAACCCAAGAACTTCCGTTAATCCAAAAAGGACTGAATGTTGTCAGTGAACATGAGTCAGTATTGTCTAATACTGAAAATAAGAGTTTAAATACTGTTACAGAGAATTGCTTTGCACCCACATGTTCAAACACATCCAAAATGTTCAATAATGAGAAACAGTTTGTTGTGGTCTGTAACAAAGAACTGAAGGAAAATACAGATATCCACATTAACACAGATTTAACTACCCAAGTCATTGAAACCTATGCCAGTGCTAAAGAAGCAAATCCTATACTTGCATCTAATGTTCCATGTTTTAGTAGTGTCAAGCCAAGCCTGAATAATTTGAGTGGAAAACCTAGAGAGTGTTTAGATCTTCAAACTGCTTATGTACTACCTGCAGATGCTTCACTCAAATTAGAAAACAAGACGCTCAATAATGTGATTATAGCACAGTCTACAGAAGTAGATGATGTAGTCTCCAGTGATGTTAAACATAACAGAGTTGAAGAAAATAAAAATTCTCATAATGGAGATGAAACTACCTCTTTACTATTAAAGACTGTTGGTAAAGGTAAAACGAGATATTCTTTGGGAATATTTTTGCCCAAATTGCCAAACAAGAGAAATTGTAGTGTCACTGGTATTGATGACCTAGAGCAGATGCCAGTAGAGGTAGCTGCTTTAAATCGTTTAGATACTCAGCCAGTCTCCACCAAAGATTCAGAAATTGGGTCTGTTGCCACTAATCTGAATTTAAGTCCATCTCAATATATAAATGAAGAAAATCTTCCTGTATATCCTGGTGAGATTAATTCCTCAGATTCAATTAATATAGAAATTGAGGAGAAGGCTTTGATTGAGACACATCAGAAAGAAATTTCACCATCTGAAGACAAAATGAAAGAAATCAGCAACAACCAAAAAAGAGCCTGGGTACAAGAAGAAGATGATGTTGAAAATAAGAAAAAAATCAGAAAATATGAGATTAATTTTAGTGATTCTACACAACATCAGGAGGTGAGCTCTTTTCTGTTTTCTTTTTTTGGAGGCAGGGTCTGGATATGTAGTGCAGGCTACCTTGAATTCATAATGCCTTGGGCTCCTGGGTGCTGGGATTATTGGCATGTGTCACCACAAGGTTTGAATTTCTGTTTTAAACCAAGGAATGTCTTGAGATTATTGAGGTTTTTGTTTTGTTTTGTTTTAGTTTATGGCTATCCTTGATTTTTAATCTTTATTTTTTTTAATTTTATTTATTTATTTGTGTGTGTGTGTGTGTGTGTGTCCAGCTCAGCCCACCAGGGGGCGGCGCTGGCTGGCATGTGGTGCTGGGGGATTGAACTGCGGTCCCCGTGCTTCGCCAAGCTTGTTCTAAGTAGGTGCTTCAGACCACTGAGCCATCTCACCAGCCCCTTTAATCTTTAAATATGTAGAAAATTATTATTTCTAAGACTACAAAAACATTCCTATATACAATCTCTAGGAAGTAATTTACTAACAGCTAGACTTCAACATAAGTTCTAGTGACAAATACCCACAAAAAGTGGAAAGTATTACAAAAATTAACCATGCTAGTGGGGTGCAGTGAGAAGGTTCTATAATCCTAGTTACTCCTAAAGCTGAAACAAAAGGATTAAGAATTTGAGGGCAAATTCTTAGACAATTTAGTGAGACTGTCTCCAAATGAATAAAGGCTGATGAGGTGCTCAGCATTCCTTAGGTTCAGTCCCCCGTACAGCCAAAAATACATGGTATGGTATACACCTGTAATCCCAGCAGTCTGGAAAGCTGAGGCACAGGATTGAAAATTCCAGCCATGCCTGGGCAATTTTAATAAAATCCTGTCTCAAAATAAAATAACAAATGGGGTATGTAGCTCAGGCCTTGGATTTAATCTCTAGTAATGCAAAAAAAAAAAACAAACAAAACCAAAAAACGTTGAAATGTTCAACTTCTGTCACCTCTGGTGTATTGTAGTATTTTGTATATGAAAATCTCTTGAGAGATAGTTTGAAGTCATCTTCAGTGTTAGAAATATTTGGGAAGTGGAAAGTGTTTGCTAATAACATAGAATGCTTCATAAATTTGTGTGTCATTCTTGTGTGAGGGCCATGCTAATCTTCTCTGTATTCCAATTTTAGTAGTATGTAGTGCCAAAGCAAGCACTAGAAAGCTTTTATGGTATGTAAACTGTAAAAAATGAAAGGCTCAGTTGATTGTGGTAGAACATACCTATAATCCCAAGATATGAGGGGCTGAGACAGGAGGATTGTGAGTTCTAGGCCAGTAGTGGCAAACTTATAGTACACAAGCTATAGCTGGTTTGTATCATTGAAATCTCTACAAGATTTGTCATCACTGTTCTAGGCCAGCCTGATCAACTTAGTGAGATGCTACATCCAGATTATAAGTAAACTGGTATAAAGAGCTACATCATTATTTGATTTCAGCCAAAATAGTCCTGGTCAGCTGCGGAGACAAGTACTAAATCCAAGAAATAAGTTTCATTTCATTTCTCCCCCCCCCCCTTTGGCTGAATCCTCCAGATTTATTGTTCTCCCTGTGCCAGGTGCCCCTGCCATGGCTCCACCCTAAGTTTCATTTCTATACACTAGCCAGGGCCACTGTGTATATTAAACATTGTAATCTGGTTTTCTCTCATGAAGTAACCCAGTTGTTGGTACCTAGTAATTAAATAATTGTGTTAGTTAATATTTGACAGCTTATAGGTCCCAGCTACAGCTTAGATACAATTAAGAAACAGTTTGTTTATATACGTTAATGTATAAAGTTTGTTTGATTGATTAATTGATTGGTGTTTTGAGATAGGCCCTCACTATGTGGTCTGGGCTGTCCATGAACTCACTGTGTAGCCCACGCTGGCCTCAAACTTGTGGCAGTCCTCTTGCTTCAGCTTTCTAATTGCTGGGATGATGGGTGTATGCCACCATTCCTGCCTAAGATTATTATGTCTTTAATAAAATGCAACTATAATTAAAGGCCAAAATTGCCTGATAACCCATGTGACTTATACATCTTATGTTAGTAGTAATATATTGGTTTGTTCAACAAACGTTTAGCTGTTTATATCTTAATTATTCTGATGATGTTTCTTAATTGGTATTTTCAGATTTTTGATCATCAGACTGAAGAGGACATAGATAAAAATGCTAACAGTGTATTGACAAAAAACCTGAGCAGGACCCCATCTAGTTGCAGCAGCTCTCTGGATTCAATCAAGGCTGATGGGACCTCTCTCGACTTCAGCAGTAAGAACTAAGTGAAGGCTCAACAGCTATCATCTACATTCTTTTTTTAAATCAGCATTCTTGACTAATAATAAATGCATTTCAGTTTAGGAAATATGTGAATGTAGTTTAAACCTTTTCAAGGTTACAAAGAATTAACAAGTATAATTTATTTTAATTATCTAATAAATTGAGAAGTGATACACTACAAAGGAATACAGTTACTTCAGATTTTATAACTAAAGTATAATTATATAATTATAATTAACCAGAGTTTTATAATTATAAGCATTGATTAGAACCTTAAAACTGTGATATATTTTGTCTTGCTGCATGATTTTCTTCCCAGAAGCATCTCAGTGGGTAGATTTAAGGTCAGGAACAATGCATAAATCTGAAGGATAACTAAAATTATGTCTACAATTTAATTTTGATTTATTTGTCACACGAATTTGCTTTACTTCTAGTATATCGAAATAGTCAAATGGAATCCCAGTTTCTCGGACACACTATTTGTGAAGAGA